TGCCCCCGGCAGCTCAAGGTGCCCCCTTACTTGGGCTACCGGTTCCTGGGGGAGCGGGACTGCGGGGCCCCCTGTGAGCCAGCCCGGCCCAACGGGCTCATGTACTTCAAGGAGGCAGAGGTGCGATTTGCCCGACTCTGGGTGGGCGTGTGGTCTGTGCTCTGCTGCGCCTCCACCCTTTTCACCGTGCTCACCTACCTGGTGGACATGCGCCGTTTCAGCTACCCAGAGCGACCCATCATCTTCCTCTCAGGCTGTTACTTCATGGTGGCAGTGGCCTATGCAGCAGGTTTCTTGCTGGAGGAGCGGGTGGTGTGTCTGGAGCGCTTCTCCGAGGATGGCTACCGTACTGTGGCCCAAGGCACCAAGAAAGAAGGCTGTACCATTCTCTTCATGATCCTCTACTTCTTCGGCATGGCCAGCTCCATCTGGTGGGTCATCCTGTCCCTCACCTGGTTTCTGGCTGCTGGCATGAAGTGGGGCCATGAGGCCATCGAGGCCAACTCCCAGTATTTCCACCTGGCTGCCTGGGCTGTGCCCGCTGTCAAAACCATCACCATCTTGGCCATGGGGCAGGTGGATGGGGATGTTCTGAGTGGGGTGTGTTATGTAGGTATCTACAGCGTGGACTCACTGAGGGGCTTTGTGCTGGCACCCTTGTTTGTGTACCTCTTCATTGGCACTTCCTTCTTGCTTGCTGGCTTTGTGTCCTTGTTTCGCATCCGCACCATCATGAAGCATGATGGCACCAAGACAGAAAAACTGGAGAAGCTGATGGTGCGCATTGGTGTCTTCAGTGTCCTTTACACGGTGCCTGCCACCATTGTCCTGGCTTGTTACTTCTATGAGCAGGCCTTCCGTGGCACCTGGGAGAAGACATGGCTCCTCCAGACCTGCAAAACCTATGCCGTGCCCTGTCCCAGCCACTTTGCCCCTATGAGCCCAGACTTCACTGTCTTCATGATCAAGTATCTCATGACCATGATTGTTGGTATCACAACTGGCTTCTGGATCTGGTCTGGCAAAACCCTTCAGTCCTGGCGACGCTTCTACCACAGACTCAGCACGGGCAGCAAAGGTGAGACGGCAGTATGAGATTCCCTGGTCCCCCCTCTGGCACACACACACATGCATGCGCACACAGACGAGAGAGGGATACTTTGCAGAAGAGGAAGGCAATGGCTCCCTGAAGAGGCAGGAAGTGAGGCTTTTCTAAACTTTTTCTTCCTCCCAGAGGATTTTGGGGAAGAAAAAAAATCTTGGTGTAAAGTTTCAGATGGACTGTGACCAGTGGTGCTTATGTACAGCTAAGTGGAAAAGCACAGAAGAGGCCAGTGGTGGGATGGGAGAGTCCTTCACCCACAAGAAGTTGCTCTACCTCTCTCTCCTACTACCCCTGTGCAGGAAAAAACCCAACCCAACTAAAATCATCCCGCTTTGCTTTGGCAAGAGCGGGGGGAAGCCAGATCTCTTGAGCTGCCCCTGCCAAGAAGTAGCCAAACCCTCTCTGAATTGCTGGGGTCAAGCTGCAGCGCAGGCAGGTCACTCCCGAGCCTGAGCTCTCCGCCCGAGCTGGAGCTACCACGTGAGTACAGCAAACCAGCTACAGCCCAGACCGTGCTGGTGAGATGCCTCTGCTCTGTCAGCTCACAAGTTCCTTTTTACCTCAGTCATACCTGTTTCAATTGTTTCAAAGTGAAAATTCGGCCCTCGGTCTGTTGTTCTTGCTGCTGTGGGGAAGGAGGGGGTTGGTATTCCATACCCTGAAAAGAAATGACTTGTTGCTTTTCAGCAGAAGGCTTTTCCCCCTTGCCTTTGTTCTAGGAGACAAAGGGGGAAACAAAAGTGTTTTCTATGTAGAAAGGCATAAGCATGGGATCGGTTTTTATGGGCAAACTAACAAAAAGAAGTCGTTGAGGTTCACCCTTGGATGTGAGGAGCTCGTAGAAATAAACATTCCTTTTATGAATAAAGAAGGCAGGATGTTTTCCTGCCGTTCAATATGGGCCGCTTTTCTAAGCCGAAATAATTGCAAGACTTCGAGGGCAAGAAGAGTGTAACTGAGAGCACCCGCCAAAACAAGAGTCATTAAAATATGTAACAAATATAAGATATTTTTTTTTTCTTTCCTTCCCATAAACCTGCTTGCTTTCTTGCTCTGCTGTGGGCTCACTGCAGGTAAAGTCAATACAGAGCCGGCTTTTGAGGACGGGAGGAATCCTTTTGGCTCACGATGGACCCTCTGCCTGCTCCTCAGGTTCCCTGAACTGCATGGCAATGACTCATGGTGCAGGAGGGGGCTGGGGTTCAAAAGCAAGCAGTTATCGCACGTGAGGAGCCTTCTCATTTCAGCTAAAATGCAGCTGGTTAAGTTTCCAGTGATCACGTCTTGGAAGAAAAGACATTAAAAAATTAATAATCAAACATTTTCTTTTTTAAATGTGACAGATTTTTCTATTCTGAAATTTATATGTCAACTTGTTAGTTTTTTATTTTTTGCATACTACTTTACCTTTATATTCACTGAAGGGTTGTTTTTATAAGTATATGTGTGTGTGTATATTCTTGCCTAAGGACAAAATAGGAAATTCTGGATTTTTAGCAAGTCTCCACCCTATAGCTGCTCTTCATTTTTTGGGGGGGGGAAACTGTCTAGAATGAAACTTAAAAAGAAAAAGCCTGTTCAGGGTGAGGGGGCAGACTGCTGCTGAGAGCATACCAGTAGTCTGGGCATGAGGAATGGGGTCCACCAGCCAAATCCCTCAGTAGATCTGATTACAGAGTCGCAGAGCTCAGGTTTTTGTCTTTTAAAATGTGCACGTGGAAGAGTAAGGAAAAAAAAAAGTAAGACAAATGCAGTATGTACATTTTGTAAATCTTGGTTTTGTAAGAAAATGTATTTAAGTTTTTACTTGATTTTCTGGAAGGTCTGTATGAGGCCCTGCTTCATCCCATGTACAGATCGCTAAATAAATAATTTTTAATACAAGAGTTCTAAGGAAGTTCTTTCAGTCTTTGAACACTCAGCAGGTTCTAGAAGGGGGGGCAGCTGTGTGAGTGGCATCTTCTCCCTCTATTGTGGGAGACACAACAGCCTTTAGCTTAAATACACTGACCAGAACCTCAGCTGTGACTTGAAAGTGGCCTTTTTGATCACATTTTGAGACCATTTCAAATGTTTGCCATCACTTGAGGTACTTGCATCATAGCCAGGTTTTCTTCCAGGCTCTGTCTCTTTCCAAGGGCAAGCTGATAAACCACTTTCCTTATCTAGGAAAAAAGGATAATGCACTCTTCCCATTCCAAAGGGACTTTGAGATTGAGAACTGGAGGGTGCTACAAGTGCTGTAAATTAAATCCTTGCTTTGACAGATGGAGTGTTTTAGGGAAACACCAAGGACTAGGTCCTTTCAGTAGCTTTCAAAGGGTAGTGTTTTGAACTGGCTTTTTTCTCCCCCAGCACCTTTGCTACTCCAGTTCTGTTCAGGTGACTTTAATCTTAATAGCTAACCTGAAGCCTACATTCATGCTTATCACAGTCATCTGGAAGCTAATAGCTTCAATGCAATGGTCTATTTTATTTCATTTTTTCAAACTGAAATGAATGTTTAGACCTCAAGCTGTTGCTACAATCATGGAAAGTTCCCTGGCAAACAGAATTTTACACCTGTGAAATCATAGTTGCCAGCTTTTCTTACCATGATTTCAGCCTATTTGTTGGGTTCATCACCTCTCCTTTGCCTTAAACTAAGGCTTTAGTAAAATTTAAGCTACAGAACAGAGATATAAGATGCCTTAGCTGGATGCTATCATAGTAGCTGCGGCTATAGTGCAATGTTGTTCCATTTACCGAGCACAGTGTACAACAGTTGCGCTTTCAGGGCACTACTTTTTGGACATTGCTCTCTAACTTAACTGTTTACATTTAAATTGTACTAACTACTGATTTGAAGTTCTTTTCAGAGCTAGTCCCATTCACACTGCCTCTCTAGAAAAGCCGTATCTTTTATTTGAAAACACCTCTAGCTGCTCCCCAGAATCACTCACTTGTCAAGTTTCCTTTTTGAAAAGGCTTTTACTTTCCTCAGAGTTAGGCTGCTTTAAACTGTTCCATGGCAGGGAGCTTGCTGATCATTGCTGAAGGGTGTTTCATTCCCCTCACTTAGGAAACCTGAACCTTTCTATAAACATTTCCTCTCATTAATCCATCAGTGCCAGCCAGAGCGATGGAACAGCTAGAACAGCTTGCACTCTGAGGGACTGGTAATGAGCAGGAGCAGTGCTGTGACTGACACTCCAGTGCTGTGCAGTGTCGCTAAACATGCAATTAATCCTTAGTACATCATGGACAGCTAAGCCCACAATTCATGCAGGCAGCCTGGCCCCCTGCTCTTCACTCAACACCCATCCTTGCAAACTGGATGAGAAACTACATTTAGGTGTGATTGCTGCTTTTTTGTCCATATGTGGAAAAACTTAAATAGATTGTTTTTTGTTAAGCTCATGAGACATTCATATCTGAAAGGAAATGTTATTTCCACCAGAAACTGTTAAGTCTGGATGCTTTTATTTCAGTATTTTCTATTGGGTACTTCTGGATTTAAAATCATTTACACATGACATCCAAATCTCGATCTTTAAAATTTTAGATTGCAGGTGAAATTTGATGCTGGTGTAAAGTAGAAGCAGTTGCTGTTCACTTTTAAGCATATGTGACACATCAAGACAATTTTTTCACAGTGGAAACAATTTAGAGAATTTCAAGTAGTGATAGCGTCTGGCCTTCTGGAATAAAAATCTATCACCATTCTGATAACAAAGTACCAGTTACTATCATAATGGAGTATAATTTTTAAAATCTCTTTGTGAAGCTGTCTGGAAAAAAAGGAGGAAAAATAAGCCTTTACTAAACCTTAGCTACTTGTTGCTAAATTATTTTTCTTTGACTAATGTTGAGGTCCACTTTCAGTCAACATCTTTTTATGTTTAAGAAAATCTCCTACCCCTCACCTTTGGCCCTTTTCTATGCAGCATTTTTGGTTCACAAGACCGCGGCAAGTAATAGTTACTGTTGATCAATATCCCTCTAAGTTTAAAGCATACACATTTTCATGAAAAATATATAACACTGGTTCTTAACTTTCATAGATGTTTCCCTTCAGAGACTTCCTAGAATAAAGTATTATTATTTCAGGCAAGTTAAACAGGAGGCTTTAACAATTCTAAAGTTCATGAAAAACAACAGCAACTAAGTGTTTGTCTTCACAGGAAAAAAGTGCTTTTATAACACGTCAGTGTTTGTTTGGGTTTATTCTTGGTGGAATACCCACACCAAGGATTGCATGCTTTTTTGTCTAAGTATTTCACCCACAACCAATAGCTTTGCATGCAAGTAAAAAACCACACATCTCTCTATTCACCAACTGGCAACAGTAAACATTATTTGTAAATTCACATAGGTTTAGAAACCAAATTACTAGCTTGTATCTTAAATAGTCTATTTTTTCTGCATCTCATTCTCACTTCTTTCCAGACCTTACAGGTACTTTGTGTACATCCTGCTCTCCCATACTTGCTTTCTACTCCTGCTCTTTTTTCAGAACCATGAATCCAGCTGAAAGCAATTGAGTCTGTCGCTTGGAGAGGAAAAGATGACTCTGAATCTTTCAGCACTATAACTGTTCATTGAGATAGACTATTGCCAAGCCTGTTCTATATAAACCAGGATAATTGTGTCATGCCAACATGAGTGTGTGGTTTTGGCAGCTACCAACACTGCACAGGATAATATAGGATTGGGAGAATAAATACAGTGCATGGCAAGTTCCCAAATGCCCCACTTAGAACAGACATATTTTGACTAAAATTATGCCCCAAATGTACAAATAAAATATGTGTATCAGGGTTTAACACTGCTCAGACAACCAGTTTGCACCACAGAGAAGGACAGGAAGAGTTTTGAGACTGTTTAAGCCCAAGGTCCATGGTTGCCTGGTTTGGTGGCTGGGCATTGCTTGTCTCAAACCAGATCAGTGGAAATAAGGCACAGCACTTACTCCTAATCCAGGTAAAGACGGGGCTTGCGCACAGCATTA